CTCTCTCTCTCTCTCTCTCTCTCTCTCTCTCTCTCTCTCTCTCTCTCCAGCTAGCTCTGACTGTGGCCTTGGCCAAGGTAGGGTGGTGACAACCTGCCTTCTATGACCCTATGACCACCACATCTGTAGACAGAAGAGGAGCTGGTGGCCACTGCAGCTCCACTAGCACTCCTTCAACACCTGCATCAGGAGATCAGGAGATAACCAGAAAGTTCCCCAGAGGACTATTAGAAAACACTTACTCCAGACAGCCATGCTTGGTGGGGCGGTTAGCCAGAATCAAACACCGTGCACATGACATGGCTCCCCTAGCAAGGGTCTTATCTCTTGGATAAGCCGAGCACGGCTGGCTGAGGAAGCCTTCAGAGCACACGGCCTGGGAGGACAGCAGAGTAAGCAATAGCTCTGCTGTGAGAGACTGAGAAGAAGACAGCTCAGTCATCACGCCTACATCCAGAAGGCAGGTCCCTTCTGAGATCCTAGGTCATGCTCACCAGAGAGCACCTTGGTGAAAAAGGATGGCTGGCCGTGAGCATCATGTCTGCTCTCAGAAAGGACAGAAGGATAGAGTCCTGTTGGCAGCTGAGCAGAGCCTCTGGAGAATGCTGCCTCCACCAAGACAGCACACATGGTGGCCTAGGCCTCGCCAGGAGCTACAACACAGAGCTGAGGATGGAGGCTGGGGTGCAACGCCCAGCAGTGGGGGATGGGCAGTCGCAGGGCTCATGTTGCTGGCATCTAGACTGAGGAGGTATCTCCTTGTGGTGGCATCACAGCGAGTGTTCTACCCTTTGCAGTGACATCAGGGCCCATATGCTCGTGCTTTCTCCTGAGACTTGAAAAGAGGGACAGACAGTCTATACACAGGAAAACAGCAGCGATGCACCTCAGTCCAGCAGCTGTGCCTCATCTGTCCACAGCTGGCCCAAACAGCTGGGCTACTGGCTAACGCAGGCAGTTTGACTATCATCCCTCTGCTCACATGGCACTAGCTACCAACCCTGCCCAACAAACTACTACCATGAAGGGGGTAAAACCCGGCTTTGAGGCTATGCACAGGGAAGATTGGCTGGCAGACTGGTCCAGAGACGGGCCCAGTCTGGATATGGCAACAACAGCCCAGGACAGGCTCTAGAGAAGCAGACAACAGTGCTGGGCCAGCACAGCTGTAGTTGGTCTCAGGTGTGGTTAAGGTGACAGGTAGGCTGGCACATATTTCTTACCCCTGCAGAAGCACTGACAGTGCTAGCCATGGTCCCCAGTCAGGCCCTGGGGACTGTGTGTGTTCAGACACAAGCCCTGGACATGCACCACCTGTGACATTCCATCCTGCACAGAAGCCTCAGCAGGGCTATTTTTATCCTGAAGTGAGAAGTGGCGGCCTGATGATCTAGCACCCCTGCAGGAACACAGACAGCTTGGAGGGGGATGCAGTAAAACCTGCAGAGGGTACAGGCTGAGACAGGCCATCCTAAGCTCTGAAGAGGGCTGGTATTACCTTCTGCAACACCATGGCATAGCCTGGCTGGGAGAACCCCTGAGAGGAGAATATCAGCCATATATGGACCCAAGCAGACAGAGTCTGCCCAAGGACAGAGTTAACACTGAAGAGGCCAAGACTCAGAGGCTCGGTTTTTCCTTGGGGTATGAGTGTAGCCATGGACGCAGGAGCCTCTCCCTTCTACACGGATGGCAGGCAGAACACCTGCTTCTGGGCCTGCAGAGCAACCAGCTCCTGAGTAGACAGTCAGCATACTCCGGCATTCAAAGTTGCAGGCTGTGGTATGGGTTATGGGAATGGGAGCCCTGAGGGCAGCAGTGGGCTCTGCTGGAATGGAGGAGACAAAAGGACCCAGCTACACCATCCCACTCCATTCAGGGTTAGTGGATCCATAGAGACCACTCCCTAGCAATCCTAGGCACTTAACTAGAAACAGGAGAGTACCAGGCTCCAGTCCACACACTGGATCCAATACTGATAGAGGGTCCAGGTCTACAAATGTTCCCACAAACCCTGCAGGAGTGCTGACGGAGCTCAGATCTGGGAACTGTGGCAGCGGACAGTCAATCTGGCATGCGGCTGGGATCCCAATGGCCGACTATCATCTGTGTGACCTCTACAAAGGCTGTCTTAACATCTGATCTCAGCTCTTAAGAGTATTTCTCCTTTATCTATGTAATGGGCTCAGTGGGTAGGGGCTATAGGCAGCAGCAGAGTGATTTCCTGGCACACGTAAGGCTCCGGGTTCCTCCAGTGACTCCCTTCAGCCTCCTGCATCCACTCCTTGGAACTCTTTGGAGCTTCTGCACCATGCTTCCCCCACAGTGCGGTCCTCTCACCAGAAAGCAGCGTGCCAGGGCGTTTGTGAGGAAGTCTCCATGTAGCTAGCAGCGCTGTAATCTGTTTTAATTAAATACGCTGGAAACACAACTCAGGTGACGCGTGGCATCCAAGTGCCACACACTTGTATTTATGGCTCCGTCGACGGAGGACTCGTGACATCTGCTTCCAACCTCCGCAGCCGCTTTATTAAATGGAATAAATAAAATCTGGGCAAAATGGCAGCAACCCCGCCAGAGACAGGCTACTGGGAGTCTCCCGGCTCCACATTTCTAGTTTGTTTTGCTGAGCTGATTTTGCTGGAAACAAAGCATGCCTTGTGCTGGAACTGCTGAAGGACATTAACCCCGGCCAGGACTGCACTGAGAGGAGGGCCTGCCCACCCATGGCCAGCCCTGGAGCTCGCACATCTGCCCTCCCATGAACAAAACTGGCAATGAACACTCCCAATCCCTCCTCCCCAGCGAAGCATGGATGGCTACACCTAGTGCACAGGAATCCACAGAAAAGCCTGTTGACGCCAGAGAAAACAGGAGCTTGGGGTGAGGGTGGGTGAATGAGAGGGGGCAGAGAAAAGCCATCAGACAGAGAAAGAGAGAGCAGAGGGTAAAGTGGCTGCCTCACAAGAATGAAAGCATGAGTTCAGGTTCCCAGCACTCATGGAGAATGCCACCTTTGGCAATGGGTACCTGAAATCACAGTGTGGGAAGATGGGGA